AGGTGGTTGAGCTGGGCCGATCTGTGACAGTCCCCCCCCCCTCCACGGCCTGCTCCTGAGGGCCGAAAACCCCGACGTCGTGGTGGTCTACCTCTTCCTCGGGGCCCAGGGCGATCTGAATGAGTGGAGTGAAAGGCTTCCAGCTGTATGGGGTCGAGGATGTCAGCTCTGGGAACCCATGAACGCTCCTCTGGCCCATAACCTTCCCAGTCCACAAGATATTCTAGGAGACCACCACGGAGCCGGGAGTCCAAGATCTCGTCGACCTTGTAGATGGTGCCTTCCTCCTGGATTAACGGTAAAGGGGGTTCTTCTGCCGGGCCAGGCTCTGTGGACAGAGAAACAGGTGGTGTAGATGGTGCCTTCCTCCTGGATTAACGGTAGAGGGGGTTCTTCCGCCTGGCCAGGCTCTGTGGAAAGAGAAACAGGTGGATGGTGAGGCTTGAGCAGTGACACATGGAAGGAGGGGTGAATCTTATACTGTGGAGGGAGGTGGAGTTGATATGTGACCGGGTTTATCTGTCTGAGGATGGTGAAGGGGCCAACATATGTGGGACTGAGCTTCTTGCAGGGCAGGCGCATCCTGATGTCCCAGGTTGACAACCACACCTTCTGGCCTGGTTGGTAAGATGGAGTCTCAGCCCTTCGAAGGTCTGCGGTCGTCTTGCCCCTGCGCACTGCCCGCTGAAGCTGATGGTGAGCTGCGTCCCAGGAAGCGATCCTTCAGCAGCGAGATGGTGCTGTTGGCCCCTGGGTGGCCAGTGCCCAGAGAGGTGTGAACGGAGTGATCAGGGAAGTGCGTTGTGCTCTGGTGACATACTGCATTCCTGGTGGGCAACCCGACGGAGTGGGCGTGGAGACATTGGTGGAGGTAACAGGGTTATCCTTCCATTGGATGGGGCTTACGAAAATTTCCTTGGGGATAATGGATTCTGGTTCCTCACTGACCTCTTCAGGAGCATGTAGGCGAGAGAGGGCATCTGCTTTCACATTCTTGGGGCCAGGACGATAGGAAATGGTGAAATTAAACCTAGTGAAGAAGAGGACCCATCTTGCCTGGTATCACTCCCCGAGACGACTCGTTCTTCCCGAGTCACATTAAAGATTTGTTCAAAATGAACGAATCGTTCAAGAACGACCCAACACTACAAATTAGAGATGTCTTCGAGTTCAAGGGGGGACAAACCGAACCGAACGATTTGGTCAGTCGCACTTTTAAACACATTTTAGTTTTGCTATAGAAAATATACAAATTCATACTCTGATTACATAGAGCAGCAGCAGGAAGCACGTGAGGTTGTCATGGCAACCAGATACACTGCACGCGAAATATTATTTAATTATTTTGCCACCGTTTGCCACACTACGCAGCTGTTAAGCTAATAGTCACATTTAGCTGAATCAAGATCATGATTTAGAAGTGTTGGATACTGCTGGAAATGCTGCTATGGGGTATCCTATTTATTATTTTAGGATTTTTTTGTTTGCCCCAGTGAAGCATTTCTATTAATATAACTGATCAAGTAGTCAAACTCATTCCATATCAGCAGAATAGTGTGGTACAGAAAGTCTATGTCTATAAAACAGGTTCTGAATGAATTATGTTACTGATACCTAATGGTCAAAAGCAATAGCAAAAGTAAAAGGTCAATATGATTAAATTGCAGACAAAGATTTTGAATAGCTAGGCTGGCTTGTACACTATATTGCAAAAGTATTGGAACACCCCCTTCTAATGAACAGGTCTGACTACTTTAGTCATTTCTAATTTTTAGTAAAAAAAAAAATTCTAGGGAATTGTGTGCTTCTAATTTTATGCCAATAGTTTGAACAGGACCATTTTCTATTCTAACACAACAATGCCTCTGTGTATAAGGCAAGGTTAAAAAATAATAATAATGATTGAGTCAGTGTGGAAGAACTTGACTGGTCTGCAGAAAGCCAAGTCCTAATCCCAGCTGAACACCTCTGGTGTGACTTTAAATGCAGACCTTGAGCCAAAAACTCATCACCAAACACCTGTGACTTGTACATACATATGGACAAATGTATTGGGACACCCCCTTCTTTAGAACAGAAAACTCCCAAAACTGTGGCATCAAAGATGGAAACATAATTCATGTATTTAAAAATTGTATTTCCATCTTTGTTGCCACAGTTTTAGAAGTGTCTAAAATGATTGACCGCATATGTACAAGTCATTGGTGTTTGGCGATGAGTTTTTTTTTTTGTTTGTTTTTTTTTTATTGAGTTTTCCCAATACTTTGGGCATTATAGTGTATGTTTAGTGCGGTAGGGGGCCCAACCTCATATTCTTTAATAGGGCCCAAAATTGCTAGCGGCGCCCCTGGTGCCAAGTATTCACCGATTTTAAGTAACAAATAAGGACATTACAAACTTTACTATTACTAACATTACTATTTACTCCATTTATCTTATTTATTTTTTTTACAAAACCTAATTATTTTCTTATTTAGAGAATACCAGGCACTGCAACTTTAGAAAAGTGTTTTCCTTTGTGATTTATTACTGGTCTGTTTTTCACTGAACACAAGGTGTCAGCAGTGTTCAATACTATAACAGGCCCATATAACTGTGAGAAGTGTCTATTCTGAGACTAGCTTTCACATTAAATACTTAGAAATAGAACTAGAAATAGTTTTTTTTTTTTTTTTTACGTATATAGGGATAAATAAAATAAAAAAATCCTGAAGTACCATAATAGAGCAAAACATAAAATAAAATAAATTACGCATTAAAGTCAAAGAAAGGTAAGAAGACACAAGTGGATCAACAGGATGTTAAATGTCCAAATTTTGGAATTTTTAGAAGTTAACTTTTACTTACTATATCGGTACCGACTCTGCTGCCTCCTGCACTCACCTCAGGAAACGAGCTGTCTATAATGTGGAGCTGAACTGGATTTGCAGGAGCGCTGCTGCGGATCTCATTGTGTGATTAGAGAGGCAAACCTCAGGTGGCCCATCAGGTCATTAGACTTTGCTGCCATGCCTTTCACTTTCTGGAGGTCTAAATGGGCTTCTGGCTGTTTTACTCCCACAATAGAATAAATGGAGACAGGTCACATGACCTCCTATGAGTCAGATCAAGACAAAGGGTCGCCGCAGGGAAGCTAAGTGCTCTGAAAAACCAGCACCTTCTGTACAACCGGATCCGAGCCAGCCTGGTTCAGTGAGTCCGTTTTACCCAGTCCTACATTGTGCTTATCTTGAACATGGCACACATGGCTTAGAAACGCAGGGAGCATTTCATGTCTTTGCAGCACGTTAATGAGCGTGGGTTTTAGAAATGAATGACAATAAATGAAACTTTGCCTGTATGGGTTCTGACGCACGTCATCTTTGGCAATGCAAAGATGTGATAAGTTAAGCCTGATATTTTCCATAAAGCGGCATTAATTCCAACTGTACTACTTTGAAGTTTTGGCCCTTTCACTTTGATCTCATTTCAATTAGTGCATGGCTTGAATTAAATGTGTAATTCACGTAATGTGTTTATTTGATTGCGACCACATCACTCATTATAATGTGGCATATTAAAATCAATTAAAACACACATTTAATAAATTAACATATATTAATTTAATATAATGTCATAAACGTGCCACTTACTACTGGGGGGATTTTAAATTAAATTAAATTAAATTAAATTAAATTAGCCTAATAGACACAAAAGTAAATTGAACTTAAATTCGAATG